TTCAGTGTTATTTTATAATGTTGAAGCAGCATTTGGTGAAGTTGGGGCCACTTCTGGTCGCAATTTTGTGTTAAAATACAGGAAAAATGTCGACATTAAGTTGCAAAAAGTGAGAAGAAGGAAGAATATTATCATCTATTTAGTTCTTTGGTGACCATTCAAATACATATATGGCGAATAATAGTATTGCATTATTATGTTAGAATGAAGATAGACCTACACTTTATAAATCAACAGTCTAAGTGAGAGCAATTCAAAGATGACATCTAAAAAAAATTAACTTATTGAGACATCAGATGATCAAAGACCAGCAACATCTTCCTCGAATGTTGAAGAAGTTGACTAAATGTATAATTTGTCAAAATATGACAGACGAATTGCTGCAATGCCCTACATCGGTAAAGCATATCAAAATGGGTGCCGGATATGTGACTTTAGAGGAACATCTCGTAAAATGCAAAGGACTGCAATGTTTACCGTCTACGATAAATCTGAATGCATTAAATGATGGCAGTGGTCTTCAAAGTACGATGTACAAAAACAATGCTAAATGGCATGTTATTATATATCCTTTTAAAGTCATCTTTTGTATCATATTCAACTGTTTTTATGCAGATGAGATGAATATTTGATCATTTATTGGTAAATTTATTGGTCCACACTATGTTCTATCATGATGCTGGCGTGATTTGGAGTTTTCGAAGAAATTTTGTTCAAATCACTGTTAGATGTTGTCATACATTATACTAAATTTCTCTCAAACTATTGAACTGATTATTACAAAACTTGACAGTACTGCTTAAAATTAACAGTATTTAACAGAAAAATCATCACATTCAGTTTATTTAGGGAATCTGCACATGCACCTATGACCTTGTATGTACTCTCATTTTCTAAAATTTCATACTATTTCACTGAAATATTGAAATCCTGAAAAGTTTTACGTGTGGACTTATTGAAACCTCCTTGCGGTCAATTTATATTAAGATCAAAAGACTATAATATTAATGACGTATTATTTTATTATACAATATAAGATTGAATTCTTAGTACAGTTTTTTTTTCATTTAAATGTTTTAATATCATAGTTAAAACGGAACATGTATTGATTTTGGGTTATTTTTCAACATGTATAGATGATAGTACTATCGACAGATGTTAATTATACACACATCACGCAGTTTGGTCAGAACACAGATTCCGATTCAATATTTTATTAAAATCGCACCACTTTTATAACATACAACATTCACATTCATATCTAAACAAAAGTGTATACTTACATTAAAGGCAAAATAATATAACATATGCCAATGATTTTATATGATGAATATAATAAACTATGAAATGACTTAGTATCTACAATACTTTGCCACATTTAAACTATAAAGATATACTAAGTACTAAAGATATAACTATATAAATATATTCAAGATTTAGTTACATCGTCAGCTATATATATATATAAAATATGTTTGAATAGAATATTAAAAACGTTTAACCAACTAACAGACAAGGTTCTTAATTTTCGAATACAAATAAAATTAGAAATAGTATAAAATCGATCTTTTTTTACTGGTTCTCTATACAATATATTTCAAAAGTTTGCATATAACGAACATAGAGTAAAACATATTGCTGTCTTCATTTTCTTTTTAAACACAAAACAATATCCTTCGCTTACTGATATAGTCGCATATCCAACCGTTTCTGTTTAAAGTTGCACAACGCCAAATCCTAGCTTTTCTCCAATATATTGTTTTTAAATAAAAAGTCTTTAAGTTGTAATAAAACATTCTTACGACGCACCTTATTGACACTACCATACAATTCAACATTACATTTTTTTAGTTTTATCATAACTTTAAGATACCTGTTTTTCTTATTATTTACAGATTTTTTGTGTGTCAGTTTGAACATTTCATGATTTATTCTCTCATTATAAATGACACTACATTCCCAGTGTCCAAATATAAATTTCAATTGTTTTACACGCGGGGTATTGGGGGGTCTCAGTCATATATGCGTCTCACCAATATCATTACAAAACGTGAAAGCTCAGTTCTTGGCAATGGTATTGCAATAAATATTACGAGTGCTCCAAATAGATGCACTATAGTTAATAACAGGGTATCAACAAATTGTGTAAAGGTACAGTACTGGAATCTCCCATGGGCCTTATTGTCGACAAACAATATGCTTTGTGGACGATTTGCAGACCTTATCCCATTTTTCTTCCACTTATTATAATCAAAGACTTATGCCAATAGTAGCCCAGATACTGGTTTGGATATTTACCGAACGTGCGGAGCAATCAAGCGTTAAATGATTTACGCCAGATGAAATGTTCAAAACCGCTGCATTTGTTTGCGCCTGTCCTAAGTCAGGAACCTGATGTTCAGTGGTTGTCGTTTGTTGATTGGTTCATAAGTGTTTCTCGTTTCTCGTTTTTTATATCGATTAGACCGTTGTTTTTCCTGTTTGAATGGTTTTACACTAGTCATTTTGGGGCCCTTTATAGCCTGCTGTTCGGTGTGAACCAAGGCTCCGTGTTGAAGGCCGTACTTTGACCTATAATGGTTTACTTTTACATATTGTGACTTGGATGGAAAGTTGTCTCATTGGCACTCATACCACATCTTTTTATATCTATACACACGCAAAAAAAGCAATATATTGTTCATGTTGTTGTTGATTTCAGAAAATTGTACCAATAAAATCTATCTGTTGATGCAATCACTGACAACACATTTAACTTGGGGAAATATGTTTGTACATGTTACATGTTTTTTGGTTATTTCCGTACCATTTATATCCATCAAAGTTTATTGTATTTTCTCCAACACGATAGATTTTTACTTGACCAATTATATGTAGACCTTGTTTCCTTAAACATAAAGCTAGAAAACTACTATATTTATAACTACATTTTAATCGGAATTTTACTCCAGCCGTTTATGTTAAAAAAACACAAATTTAATTATCCATCGCGTGATTTACTGAAACCTTCACTGCCTCTACCAAGCCTTCTGTTTCTGGAGTATTTTTATCACCCCTCCAAAGAATTGTTTCAACATTTGGCTTTTTTCAATTGTGAATCTATTTTGCTGACGATATTTCATTTTATTCTATGTCCATAGTGGAGAGTTGACATCGTTAATTGGTGTATTTTTGTGCTTTCCCACAATACGACCGGATTAACAACAATATATATATATATCTTCCCAATGCTCTTAAAATTGTAAAGTTTGTAATATTGATGATTCTTTTTTTATAAGGAATATCATGTTCGATGTACGTCTTGGGATACTTTGAAGAATAAATCTATTCTTTAACACCTGCTTTGATTTTCAAACTATTTTTTCTTTTGTTCCAGATTTTCAAGTCCATTAATGACAATACCCGGATTCATTACTGTCCAAATGTCTAAAAATTTGAATTTTTAGATAACCTTTGTAGCAAAGATGTAAACAAGCTTCACAAATCTGTCATTACGGATGTAACTGTTTTTTACGTTATTTTACGTATAGGTAAAGTTTTTTACACGTACATTCATTTTTTTTTTTTTTTTTTGGAAAGTTTTATCACACTTTCACGTTACTATTTCAGCATAGGACTTTTCAATGGTTTCTACTTTGTCTATATAGTCACTTACTAACGTCGTTTTTTGTTCTTTCGATTCAATAACTTCATCTTTCCCTCTATCGCTTATACTGGTATTGAATTTGAATGTCGTGTGTTTTCCACAATTTCGTCTATGTCATTTTTCTTTTCTCTTGAAAAATAAGGAGATGTTGTATGACTTCCAATGAGACAACTTACCACTAGGGATCAATTAACGTGTAAATCGGCTAAAGGGCACCGTTCGGCATTCAACAAGGAGAAAATCACATACCACACAGCCTACCATATTCTTTACATTAGTCTACTACATAGGTTATTTAAATTCCAGTCCCATTGCTTATAATGTTTGCAAGAGTGTTGATGCAGTGTTATATAAAGTATATAAGGGGTACAATGCCCTTTTTTCGCTCTTATTTTCACTTGATGCCTCATCGGACTCTGACAAAAGTCGTGTTCCTTGTGTTAGTGTAGGTATTGGTGTAGGTTTGAGGGTAATGTTAAAGTCACATGATACTTAAAAAAAAATTTAAAGTGTAATATGTTTTATATACTTGAATGGCTAAGTTTTACTATAAAACATATGTACATGAACTTTCTTGTTAAAGAAAATCCTTTATCTTATCAGAATCTCCATAAATGTACTGCTATTAAATTATTGTCTTCCCGTACTCTAATTTGCCGATAGCTTTTCCGTATGCAGTAACCTTAACCACGAGACCTATCGTTAGTACTTCGGCAACCGTGCGAGGTGCGAGGGAACACCGTGATGATAAGAAAAGGTAAACAAACGTGGAATAAGTTAGATAGTGATTATGAAAGAAAAACATTAATACACCACATCAGTTAACAACTGGTATGATAAAGTTAAATTAGCAAATAGAAACGCATGAAAAATATAAAAAAAATATATAAATCGCTCGATTGCAGGTCTATCGTTTCACTTATTTTTCACGTGCTCCGCATGATTCTGTGTTGATTGTTAAGTATGGTCACGTTCGATAAACTTCGACCATAAAACACGAAAGTTAATTAGCAGGGGAATTTTTCGCTGAATGAAATATTTTTTGTCGATTATATGTTTTGAATTCGTAATAATTATTAAAAAAAAATCGTTCACATAGGACTTAGTTTAGTATATATACATAGCTTGGTTCAATCATTTCCTTAACATTATAATTTCAAGAACCTCGTTTCATATGACACCACGTTGAAAAGATTCAATTAATTTAGTCTTGTTTTTATTACATTATATGAAAAAATACAAATGAAATTTCTTGGTACTTATAATGTTTTTGAATGTTATAATATCGTAGTTGACACAAAATAGGAATTGATTTTCGATTATTTTTCAACATATATAGAGGATAGTACTGTCGACAGATGCTATTTTTTCTGCAACCATCTCACAGTTCTGTCCTAACAGAATAACCACTGACAAAATAAGAAAATTCTGCATAACGAATTATGTTTCTTTTAGTTTTGTATTGCGTTTTAAGTTTAAGTTCCGTTGTATACAATGTTAATGTGGAGCGGGATTCTTCTGAAAATGGTTTTCTGTGGATAATTGCCAAACAATTAGACCGACTAGAAAACAAATTCCAGGAAATTCAGAAACAATACAACAGCAGGGGTGCGGAAATTGAATCAATAAAGGAAACATTACAGCGACAAAGTAAGTTTTCAAGAATTTTATGAACAATGCAAGTAGCTACCGGTTTTTACAAGCGGTGTGTGTGTCCCTTTAAGAAAAATAGACGAAAAAGTCCAATTTTTCCCTCATTGAGGTTCACTCACTAGATCGAGTAAATATAAAAAGAAGTAGATGTGGTATGAACACTGTCTCTGTTCGAAGTCTTTAAGCGATTTTTCATCAATTGATTTCGAGCAGAAACAACGAATATGGAGTTTTTCTTATTCAAACTTGTAGCCTAAATGAATGAAAACTATTCCCTTTACTTTCCATATGTAAACCTTTTACATTTAATCCTTCATAATTACAGCACATTGACTTGAGTGTGTAGGTAAGGGTAGTATCTTTAGTTAGCATGCTTGCTAGCTTAACCATGAAATCATTATTAGTTAAGGTACTTCGGTAGCACTCCCCTATATATCACATGTAATTCTACTCCTTGGACCCAGACCAAGGATGAATCTCACCATCTTCTTCTGTACAACTTGCAATTTTGTTGTCATCCCTTTGCCAAGACTACTATACCACGAAGAGCAAGAATAATCGAAATAGCACTGTATCAGAGCTAATGTGATAGTCATCCTTGATCTAGTATCCAAACATTTTGCATTTCTATATAAAAATCTTAATCTTGCATTAACTTTTTTATGACATAGGAAACTATTTGTTCACACTTTAAAAATTTATCAATCTGAACTCCTAAATATTTGACAAAATTTTTAGATTTGATAAGGTGATCATTACATTTGACCTGAAAATCAATATTTTGCCTAATCTTTTTTGGACGTCCAAAAAGCATGCATTCAGTTTTTCCTAGATATAATGACAGTTTAGTATCTACTAACCAGTCTGAACATTTTTCTAGAACTTTTCCCAATTTTGTAGAAATAATATCTGAACTTTTATGAGACTATAAAACAGCGCTATCATCAGCATATAAAATCAATTTACAGTCTTCATTAATACTTATTGACATATCATTAATATATGTTAAAAATAACAGCGGTCCAAGGATACTTCCTTGGGGGACACCACATGTGACTTCCATGGGTTCCGACATAACATTATCTAAAGATACAAATTGAATTCTATCAGAAATGTAAGATCTAAACCATTCTACAGTTTAACACCCATAACTTCAAGTTTTGAACATAAAATATTGTGGTCGACAGTGTCGAACGCTTTTTGCAGATCTAACATAATCATTCCTGTATAAGTACCATTTGAATTATTTGTTCTTATATAATCTAATAAATGTATAAGACATGTATCAGTAGAGTATTTACCTCTGAAACCTGATTGAAATTCAAATAACAATTTGTTCTTTCGTAAAAGCTCTGATAATTGGTTATAAACACTCCTGTCATGAACTTTCGATACAGTGCTAAGTATACTGACAGGTCTATAATTACCAACATCAAGAGCACTATTCTTTTTAAATAATAATGATTTCATGGTTTAGCTAGCAAGCAAGCTTACCAAAGATATTACCTTTACCTATACACTCAAGTCATTGTGCTGTAATTCATAAAAAATTTTGATCAAGGTTATTCTAGTCAATTTCGACGATGATTAGGGATGAAATATACGAGGGTTATGATGGGATTTACATAAAAGAGAATAAGGCGGTAAAGCAAAGAGAAAACTGGATAACCAAATATTTGTTTTTGATGCTGACTTTATCAGCAAGAATATCAAGTGAGCCCGATAGGGCGAGCTGATATTCGAGCTGATGAAGTCAGTATAAAAACAAACGCCATTATTCTGTTTATCGGCAATTTGTCATAACTGTATTTGTTTTTTGGTTGAGAACATGAAGTAAAATGAAATAGTTAGTAACACTACTTTTATGCGTACAAAACGTTGGGATAGTCGTTCGGTTGTATGAGCATTTCATTGATAAATTGACGCGGATGGACTTGAGCTCGCGACGTTGCTGCACAGATACATGACGTCATTGTCTAATATTTCGAGTATCAATTCCTGTCCATGATCTTATCAATATTAGGCAGTAAGATCAAAGGGAAAATGTACAAATTGCCGATAAATACTAGTATGTTACTTTCTAACGATCTCTGTACTTCACAGTTCTAGATAATTGATGCCGCAACGATCTGATTGGATGTCAAAAGACAATTTAAAACACCTATTCTCAAGTGTTCATTAGAAATAGGTTTTTCACAATATAAATTACATTTACCTTCTAGAATCGGTTACTTGTCGTTGACATTTTCAAATTTCAATGATGAATACAGTGTATTATTTAAATTTTCAGGTCCGTCCGTAGTGACGTTTCTAGCACGTTTGATTTCACCATCCTATGGCTCTATTGCGGCTAAAGCTACTGTCAAGTTTGAAAGAATAACAGAAAATATTGGAAGTGGATACAACAGCGGAACAGGAATTTTTACTGCTCCAACCAAGGGTCTCTATCATTTCACAGCTTCAGCAAGACAAAGCCGAAGTGGATATTTGCACTTGGGATTGTTTCGAAATGAAGAAGAAATGGCAGTTTCTGTTGGAGTTAATTATAATTCTCTGACGATTGGTGCAACATTTACACTTCAATCTGGCGATCGTGTTTATGTCAAGAACATATGGAGTCGATCATCTGGTATTGTTGGCGCTGGACAAAGCTATTTCTCTGGCAACCTTGTACACAAAATGTAAAGAATATACTCAGTAAATGAAATGCCATTTGTTTGTTTGTTAGTTAACCTATTTTAATTTGATAAAGACCAAATCAATATATACTTACTTGCTCATGGTGACTTTTCTAGCAGTTGTCGTCCTTTACATCCCAGAAATAATACTGCACAAATAAAACAAGCATTAAACCTTGTTTAAATCTTCAAGTTATATTAACAAATAATTTAATTTTGGATGTAACGCGTCTTCCGATTGGCTGACGTTGTTTTGTTTTTCAGCTCATAGACATAATTTTGTCATGTGACCTTGACGTCATCAACGTTTTTTCATGGTTTACTCCGGTTTATAATGGAATTAAGAATTAAATTATAAGAAATGACTGTAATATTTTTTCTGTCTATTCGAAATAACATAAAAAATGTGGTGCACACTTTCAAATAACCAGCTACGCGGGTTATTCAGTGTGCACCACATTTTTGATGTTATTTCTTCATAGACAGAAAAAATATTACAGTCATTCCTTAAATATATGCTACTCCAAAAATTCCGAGACGCTAAGACAACAATAGTATAAATATGAAATTTGTCTATACGTCTGTCAAACCAATATGAAACTTTTCAATAGCATGCAATTTTCTAACTTAATGGGAAAAGAATGGAAATCGTATATTTATAATTATTATCTGTTTCATGACACAAAATTAGTACACGGACGTTTAAAATCAAGAAAAAAGGAACGGGGCTTTTAATGATGTTCTTCGTCACAAACTTATAGTTCGACCTCTTGTGCCAACTCCACCGTTTGATTGCAAGTACTCTGAATAACTAGTGGAGTACATGCTATTTCACCAACACCGTAGTTAAACTGTTTGAGGACAAATAAGATAGATCAGACAAGACGACGTACCTGTCGTATACAGTTTTTTTCTCTCTATTAAATATAATAACAAAACGACAAAGATTATTAACAAAAGAAGATCTACAAATACATATGATGCCCTCAAATGACCTTTTTTTTACCAATAACTGTAAACTAATATCTTCAAAACTATAACATGTATAATAGATAAATAGATAAAAACTTCAACCCCAAAATAATCAGCCACTCAAGAATTCAAGATCTATTAATATGTGTCTAGCGACTATCGTTTAAATATAAAAATAAGAAGATGTGGTATGATTGCCAATGAGACAACTCTCCATTAGAGGAAGTTAACAACTATAGGTCACCGTACGGCCTTCAACAATGAAAAAAACCCATACAGCATAGTCAGCTAAAAAGGCCCCGAAAAGACAAATATAAAGACTTCTTACAGAAGTTAATGCCCTTTGTAATCTATTAAAGTGTTTTACCTAATAAGTTTAAAACTACTTTATATAGAAAGTGTAAAATGAACAAGTGATTAAGAACATTAACGGTACCAATTTTACATCCCCAGATACTCATTTCGACAATTAGTGTATATCTTCAGTGATGCTTGAGACCATAAAATTTGAAAATCTAAAACAAAAACGCAAATATAGCCAAACCTGAACAATGAATCAGAGATATGCACGCAGGACATACATTAATAACAAAGTGTACGTAAAGTCGTTCAAGTAGACACCACAAGAGATTTTGTTTCTTGTTGTTGTTGTTGTTGTTGTTGTTGTTGTTGTTGTTTGGTTTTTATGGAAAGTGGATTTAAACAACAAAAGAAATTTTTACTCAATAATTATACTCTGAGTTCATGACAATCATACCAATAAGCTATTGTAAAGACCATCGAAGCAAATTACAGGGCAGGAATCCAGCTTTAAAATCCGTTGCTGCATTTAATCTTTGGGAATTTACACATTTTGTTTTTAATCTATTTTAGAAATACTTTTGATATAGTGTTGCTTTTTTTTTCAGAGATCATGTCTACAATTTAATATGATATAACTTACATAGCTCCCCATTCATGTATAATCTGGCTGCCCACGTAATTACTGGTGACCTAAACATTGTCAATAACCCCTATCTGTGAAATGTGTTATCCAAAGGCCCAAAATATCGTGAGCCTAAATCCATCAATTAGAAACATAACTTCAATATACTGATGGATTCAGTCGATGAGTATGCCAGGCAATGGGCTAAACGCGAAAAAAAAAGATATAGATACTCTTTCCGAGTGGGTTAAGGCTGTGGGGTCGTTGATACAAATTAGAATTAACTAGATGTGTCGGAAAGACACTAATGGTCCCCTTTGGAAAAAAAGCTTGAAGCCATTTTTAGGAGTGGAAAATTGAGAATGAAAGTCCGTATAACTGTTATTTTCACGAAATTTTCGAAGTCCAAAGCCCGTAATTTCGGCAAAAATCAGCGCAGCGGAACCTAAGGTAAACTCGATCTTTGATTCAATATAGTAGACTCGCATACTACAAATCAGCTCAATATGATTGATTGTTGGTAGCTTAACGTCCAGTGGGAAATATTTCATGCTTGTTCAGGAAGAGAGCTCAAATTGTGAAGGCTTTCAGATAAAAAGTCCGTATAACTGTTATTTTCACGAATGACGGAATGACGGACTGACGGAATGACAGATAAGGGTAACACTATATGATCCCGACCTAAGTCGGCGGGGCCATAAAAACTGAATGGGTCTTTGAAAATACATGCTAAATCGATCTTTAAAGACTCATAAGTTGCTAAACACATGCCCTACCTCCATGACAAATATGTTTTTGTCCCTGCAGATAAAGCGCCAAACAACATCGTTTGTTTGTGTAAATCACATTACATAAAATGTTTGATAAAAGAATTAGGTATTGACATTTCACTTGGAAACTCAAAATATACCTCCATGTAGGAAATTCTCAATAATCATAGGTCTGTTTTATGTTCCTTCGGAATTTCAACCAACGATGAAGAACTGGATCACTGTATTTGATAGATAAATTACATAATTGTCCGTGCAAACAACGTTATATTGCGTGGTCTTCCAAGTGCTCCACGAAACGTTAAATGTTATCACCAATCAAAGCCGGGCTTCACAAAATATATTGTGAAACTACCTTCTCTAGGTGCGGCGTGAATCAGATATGGATACTAAAATACTCCAATGATTCGTTAGAGTGCATACAATCTAAATCTCTTTCCTCTTGCAATGGTACTAGATCATTTATTTAACTTTTCTACCATGTACACAAGTATTTCCTATTCCAAACCGTTATTTATTATCGACTTAGTCGATATCACAGTTGATACTCATTTAATATAGACTCAGTCGATACCAGACCGTCGATACTCATTTAATATAATCAGTCGATATCAGACAGTCGACACTCATTTTATACACCCAACCAATACAGACTATGTCGATACTCCTCCAATACACACTCAGTTTGATACAGACAGTCACTGCTCCTTCAATACACACTCAGTATGATACAGACATTTCATACTCCTTTTGTCATGCAGCTTGAAGTGTGACTAAAAGTGCAACCACATTATTATGATCTGTAACTGGATAAAAAACTTTTAAATGACATTATTAAACTCAGTGTACAATCAATCAATTTGAAGGGACAGTATGGGGGATGGTCTTCACTTCCGTATTCTTTAAATTTTTTTACTATTTCCTCTATTCTTGATTTTTTTTTTGTTACCAGTTATTCTGTATTCATTATTTTGTTTGTCGGATATTCTCCATTTTATTTTTATCTTAGCACCCCGTTATTTTATTTTCTTAATATGTTGGCCCCATTTTCTCTTCTCTTCAATTTTTTCGTCCATAATTTCATTTTGAAGATTCCAAGCAAGTCAACAATAATAAATTAGAGAGTAAATTGGGCAAAGTTACCTAAAAAAAGCCAAAAAGGGGAAGGGCTTATCTACTCCTGGGAAAATATCATTTATGTGTACTACTTCATTTCAGTTAATTTTTTCATCCCACATAGAATAGGCTTTTTATTTTATCCAATGCATTAATTGTCTTAAGTCTTATGCTGTTACCCAAACTAGAGGCTCTTAAGAGCCTGTTTTGCTCAACTATATAGTTAGGTCTATGTACATCTTCTAACACAGGACATTCTACAACATTGTAGACTAGAATAGAAAAGAATTCATAACTAAAATCTCTTTTTTGTTGATCTTGTATTGCTTTTTAATTTATCTCTATCTTCTATAGTTTTTTGCCCAAAACATAAAAAAGGTTAAAAAATTATCATCTTTAAAGGGCAATTACTCCTATAAGAAGACAACTTACAATTTCGTAATGATAATGATGGATGGATGCTTTATGTCCAACGGCAAATTAAATGCATAATCAGGACAAGAACATGTTAATGTAATATGAATACTAACCCTGCTTTGGCCTAGACCGACATGCTGAGCCGGATTTTTAACCACTATCTCACCAGGTAACATTATGCAGGAAGACATGTCACCCTACCCGTACACATTATTCCAACTCCAAGCCGTCCAGTTTTTGCTCTTACTCATTAATGCTGCGTGCTTAGCAGAGAAGCAGCAAATACCGATTTTAAAATCTTTGTTTTAACCTGGTCTGGGTTCAAATACAAAACCTACTGCACTCGAGGTGAACACGAAACCACGAGACCACCAAGACAATTTCATCATAGGGAGTCAACTGACATACGCAACAATGAAATTGACATGTAATTAATTTCATGCATTCGAAGTCCTTTTTCTGGATTTACCTTTTATGGGGAACGCTCAAAGCAGAATATTTGAAAGCTGTGGATGTATAAGAACAGAAACAGTTGAAGAGCTTTATGACCAAAAAGTACCTAAAAATAATAGCCAAATTCATCTAAGATCAACTTTGCCTGAGGGAGTTATTACCTTTATTTCTTCACAATTTCAAAATTTATATACAGACAATTTCAGAAAGGCTTGTTGTAAATCATGTAAGTACCGAAGTACTAACTACTGAGCTGATGATGATAGCAATGTTTGATTTATTTTTTCTTGCTGATCATTTTTGCTATTTAAAGTTTATATCTATATCATAGTTTTCAAATAATAGGTAAAAACATTGGTAAAACTAATCATTAAAGGGCAATAACTCCAATAAGGAGTCAACTGACCATTTGGACGATGTTGTCTTAATTATAGATACTGTGTTGCTGATCATTTTTGGTATTATAAGTTTCTCTTTATCTATTATTGCGAACCCAATGAAAGTTTTCCACAGTGCCATCTCTATCTTGACCAGGTATTTAAACTTTTGCAAGTTCACCTGTCCTATTGAATGAATACAATAGCTATTTTTCTCTGTGTAGTTTATTCACTGGGACCTTTAAATTTCTTCTAAGAGAAATCTATCATTCATTGATTAAATTACCTGTGTAAAAAAAAATTCTTATATATAGACAAAAATACTTTTTTTATACTCATTAATTGCGTGTGCTGATGTATTTATTCAATATTAATAATATATTTTCATTCAGTTTAATATAAACATTGATTCAATCATAAAAAGTTGATTTCTAACAAAAGTTTTATCAATGTTCCTATTGAAATTTGTGATTTTTTTTTGTTTAGTTATAGAATACATTTAAGAAGATCTTAATTTGAAACATCATTATTTTCAAGTTCTTATTTATGTCAAACAAATTTTTTTTTAAAAGGAACAATGTTGAAAGTTTTGTCAGAAATCAAATTTTTATGATTGAATCAATGTTTATATTAAACTGAATGAAAATATATTATTAATATTGAATAACTACATCATCACACGCAGTTAATGAGTATAAAAACAGTATTTTTGTCTATATATAAGAAATTTTTTTTACTCAGGTAATTTAATCAATGAATGATAGATTTCTCTTAGAAGAAATTTAAAGGTCCCAGAGAATAAACTACACAGAGAACCATAGCTATTGTATCTATTCAAAAGGACAGGTGAACTTGCAAAAGTTTAAATACCTGGTCAAGATAGAGATGGCACTGTGGAAAACTTTCATTGGGTTCGCAATAATGATTTCAAGATAATAGGCGAAAATGAACAAAATTTGGAAAAATTCATTATTTAAGGGCAATAACTCATATGGAAGTCATCTGACACTTTTGATGTTGATAGACAGTTGGTAGATCTCAACATTCTGAACTATTCTGCTATTATCAGATTTTTCCATCTACAGTGCTTTTCAAGATAATAGACAAAATGTGCATCTGCATGGCTCAGTAGTTTCAGAGGAGAAGATTTTAGTAAAAGTTTATGGATGAAGACGACGGACGCCAAGTGATTAGAAAAGCTCACTTGACCTTCCAGGCCAAGTGAGCTAATAAGGTTTGTTTTCATATCATGCAAAAGTGACTAAAGTGCTCAAAAGCCAAGCTAAAAGTTCTCTTACGTTGTATTAAAAATATTGATAGTATCATCTAAGAAATAAAAAGAAATTATTTCAAAAATCTGCCATACTTTTAATACATTAATTGTTACATGTATGATCATATTAAAATTACACAGTAATTGAACAATTGAAATTATTCTAATTTATAACTGCTCTTTTAATTTGTATCTATAAACATAGGAACTTGATGATAACTCATATGACAAAATTTATAACATGATCTTCATGAAAATATAAAATATGCTTACATAGAAGTTCTTACTATGGTGATACCTCTATCTGTTACAAAAGTATATGCTAAAATGAATAGAAGTGGTATGATTGGGGGGATTTGCCAATGAGATAATTATCCACCAGAGTCCAAATTATGGATGAGTGGGAAAGAAAACAAAGTCCACATTAGCAGAAACAATCTGTAGTAAGATTAAGGCAATGTAAAATAATATGAGTTACTTCTAAAACTAACTCAAAATTCAAATCTTTAAGCTTATAAATATTTTAATAAAAGTCTATCCACTTGAAGATGTAAGTCATATTTACTTGTATAAGTAATATTGTAAGATTTTTATTTTATTTTCAAGATTTGAATAGAATAATCTCCCCTTAATCAATCCCTCCAAAAAAGTATTCAAACAAATATTTTTTTTTTACAACCCTTTAAATTCTCAAGTTTTGGGAGATCAAAACATGCTTAAACAAAATTTGTCTGGTCTGCTCATTATTTTTTAATAAGAGTTCAACCTTTTATCTCAAAAACTAAACAAATAAATCTATTGCCAACAGATGTAAAGTAAGTATGCAAAGCCTTAAAAAATTGCTCCATGGAGGCTTGTAGATAAGCAGTATTTTCAAGATAATTTACCAAGGAGATATTCATTGTTCATGAAATTATACTTTTTTATGAAAAACAGAGACACCTATGAATGATAAACAATAAAAACACTTTATTAGAGCAATGTAGTCAGGACAAATTCAAGAAAAGAAGAAAATAAGACTTGTTTTCACTTATATACATCAATGTACATGTCAGTAAAAAAATCTGAATGTCTTAGGAATATAACTCTACTTCCAAAAAAATTTCCTGTATCAGTATGTAAAAAACACTCATCCAAGTATTTACCCTGACTGCTAGTACTTCTATGGAATTTTGGCAAATGCATGTATGGATGTACAATTTTTTTTACATCTATGATGTTGTTTAAATGACCATAAAGACAGTAATCTTGCTTTATTGAATCAGAATTTGCAGGTGTTTTTATTTTATTCCACATTGAGAAATTTAACTACTGTATTATAAAAATTGCATGACAAAATGCCTTTTATATGCCATGTCCAAAAAATATATATGAATGACAACTGAATCTTGCATTTACCTAAATATGTGTATTAATGTTCTTTAAATATCTCTTTCAAACAAAATGTGTAAGTTAACTTATTTGACCTAATATAAAATAATGAGAAATGATAATTAAAATATATGTATGATAATATGCACTATCTAAAATGTAATTACAAATGATGAATAGAAAACGAAATTGAAATTTTTCATGAAAATAAAATTTGTTAAAAATATTTAAATGATATTGTATGCAATACTATCTACTGTTTCATATCTTCCAATTAATTCTCTATGCATCTACTTTATATTTATAAAAAAAAATGCATTTGGATACACTGCACATACATGATGTAATAAACAGCTATGTTATTTTTGTCTCCTCATTTATTATTTAATAATTACATTAAATAGAAGTTCCATACCATTCCCTTTTTTTAATTGGTTGAGGCATTCCAAAAGTTATATTATATTTCTAAATAAAATGCAATATCTATGAGAGCACCTGCTTTCTGTGACACTGTAAAACTTAATTTCTCTTATTTTAAAATGTTTTTTACTTTCCAGGACCAGTTCATTATTTTTTTCATAATCAATAAATCTTTGGACCTGATTGGTAAAAAAATAATTAAGATGTCATATTAGCTTGTTTATCTCTGATTTTGCTTCTTTAACATCACCAAGCCTGATGATATTTCAAAGAAAAAACTTAAAGTTTGCCTACATTCATGACATATTGTCTTAGATTTATACATTAACAGAAAGGATGTGCCGTGGTCAAAGAATAAAAACCTAAATCTAGCCAATGACAGCTGTCAGATTAGGAAATGTTGTTTATGTAAATAATCTTACCAAAGGAAACCTATAAATTAGTCATTTACAATTAGTTTGTTTTTCTTTTTTTGTCATCATCATATAAGATTTTATTTTTAAACATTTTGGATCAACAAAGTCTTGTAAGATTTCTTTCCTAAAATATTTTCCAAATAACAACTAAAACAATCACACTGAAAATCCGTAAACCAACAAATATATTGTATCTATTGAGTGGAGAAATATCATATTATACTCTAAATTGATTTGTATTTTATTGTCCACTTGCTGACAAAATAATAAATTACATTTCACACTTAAGTCTTTTAAATAAAAGTAGACACATAGCCAACACACAAACAATCATCAAAATTTTAATTATAAAAAATGAAATCCTTTGCAATACAAAAATATTGAAAACAAAGTACATTGTATACAAATGACAAAAAACTGTACCATTAAGCACCGATTTAAGTAACAAATTACCCAATTTAAGTCCAATTAGATGCCCCAAAAGTAAGCAATTAAATTCCTATCAAACTAAACACAAACACATTGATGAAATAAGCATACAAATCTATTGCACCATCATTCATTATCACACGATCATACTGTCACATGATCATACAATGTCACATGATCATACACTGTCACATGATCAGACACTGTCACATGATTCTACACTGTCACATGATCAGACACTGTCACATGATCATACACTGTCACGTGATCAACCTTTAAAACAAAATATGACACAAATTCACACTGAATTGGATAAAAATACTTTTCAAAATTTAAAAAAAATCATAATTTAATTTCTATCAACTTGCATACCCCTTCATGATGTTCATAAAAAAATGTAAGAACTTTGACAAATTTGAAAAACTGGCCATTTTGAGAACTGTAAATTCAGAAATCAATGCATGCATTTATTATTGCAAATCTTTGACCACTGGCAAAAATGCTAAATCTAATTATGAAATTGCAAAAATTCTATGAAGGAAAATCATTTCTGTAATTATCAATGCATTTTTTTATTGTTGTGAACACGATACTGTCACATTTTTCGCATCAATAAAACACTGAGTAATTTTGAATTAACAGTAAATATTAAAGCCTTCTGGTAAGTTATCAATGTGTTCATTTTTTACCTTCTAAAAGGAACTATTAAATGCCAGAAAGAGCTACACTATCATCTGAATATCAGTTATTTCCTTCATTGTAGACAGTCTTTTCATGACACACAAACTGGTGTAAAACAAGAAAAATCAAGAAATTTTATAAAATATACAAGTTTCTTCATGGTTTTTTGTCATGGAAAGTCATTAAACGTGAAATTTGCGTTTTTATTTTCTGAACACCTTGAACCTTAGTGTAGTTAGAAGAAATTTAAGAATATGTATGGTAACTTTTCAATTTGAACCAATATTTGGGGCAAATAAGGGCCTTATTGCCCCTACTCCTTTGGCTTGCATTTAAGTTAATACTAGACAGAAACTAGAATGCAACTATATCATCATTCAGTTTTAAAAAAAATTTCAAATCTGACAAAAAGCAAAGAATACCATATATTACCATGTTAATGAACAAACTTTTGTACATGAAGAACTTATAATTTTGTAAAACTGACAATCAATGTCTCACAATGTGAGACCATTTGTCCCTCTTTCTGACCTTTCCCTGAAAAACCTGACTAGCTAAAACAAAGTGGCAAATGTCATTTAAAAACAATGAAAACAGTAATGATACTATATAGGACCCCTTTCTAACACCACTGACAACAAAGGAATTCCATCTTGATATAAAAAAATACAATTATGTGATAATTTCACCAACAAATCTGGTGCAGATCTTTGAACATTTTCACACAGTGAAACTACAAATTCTTAGTCTCCCGCACTGAGGCTACAACGTTTTTCATTGCAAGGATCATATCCTAAGTTCCCCTCTTTAGTGTAACAAATACATTTTGGCTGATGGAAATACTAGAAATTTGTGAAGAACAGTTGTTATGCCTCTGAGAGTCATCTCCACTCACATAATAAGTACAGAATCATTGTTTCTTCTTTGTTACTTGAAGTCTAACTTCCATTCTTGAAGATATCTCAAATCAACACACGAAATCCTTGGACAAAGGTTCACAATTCCCATAACAACAGTGAATGTATTTGACTTCTAAAATGTTTCTGCTGATATTCAAATTTAAATATCTCGGAAGACGAGCAGACAGTATTTGATAAACAAATCTGATTCAATGTACAACAATTATTTGACAGAATGTATGAACTCAATCAGTTTTTTCTGTTACTTAAGAAATTCATTATCGGCCATGAAATCAAACACAAAGTTATTCTAAAAACAAGTGAATAATTCCCTCTGTGTTAAAGATAACAACAGTCTGAAAATGAATTAATAAGCCATTACGTATGTGTGAACTTTTCTTTGCCAATCAACTTCTGGTTATGAATGTCAAGTTTTAATCATTTAAGGTCCAATGCAGTACTGCTGTTCAAATGCCTACATAAAAAAAATGGTCTATTCCACAGTTTTATTTATTTTTGGCCAATGCAGTACTACTGTCCAAATGCCTACATAAATAAAATGGTTTTCCCCACATATTTCTCCATGTTTTTTGGCAGTCTATGTTTTATACATCAACATCTTTTGGTGTAGTATGTGCTAAGAAAGGTTCATGCCACATTCTTCTAAGATCTCCCTGTAAAATGAAAGAACCGTTAGTAAGATCACACACCAAACGCCCCAACATTCTTCTAAGATTTCCATGTAAAATTTATATAAATCAATACTTAGCATTAGATTTCCTTTCAATAACAATTTTGCTGTTTGTTTTAAGAAAGGTTGTAATTTATGTAATAATTACATATATAAATGCAGGTCACCTGCTTATACAAGAATTGCAAGTATACATGTAAAACTCCAGTGAACAGGTTTACACCTCCAGATTATTCGGAGTATTTCAAACAAAATTATTAAAACCAAAGCCATCTTCAGCTTGACATTTTCACATACCAGCATTTTCATTTTATTGTATAGTTAGAGTTGCTGTCTCATTAATGAATAGCCTTCATTTCTTATTCATAAGCATCTGCATTTCACTACAGCTTTTCCTTCCAAACAAAAGCTCTTAAAACTGGTACACCAAAAATAATTCTAAATATCCTACCAACCTTCAGATATGCCATGGTTAGCAAGGGTAACAGTGTAAATGGAACTAAATATAACAATGCTGGTTGTGCTGCTTTAAATACTTCCGAGGACACAGTCGCTGTTAATAAACCTGGAAAAAACAACAAGATTAACTGACTGCAGACATTGTTAACAGACTTGTGAGATTACAGTGGCTGTTACTAACAACAACCCTGGTATATTGCATCATTTTACATATTTATATCTCTATAGCTGAAAGGATAAATCATTCTTAAGACCCATATCATTTTTTCTACTTCAACTGCTATTTGCGCTGTCAAATTGCAACGACCGAATATTTATTTGTGATATACAGTCACTGACCGTATATCGCCTTGTTTATGACCTTGTCAATGCGTTTTTGCTGTGTTTTTAGACGTCAATACAGAACATGTTAGCCGAATTTTTCAGTCATCCACTACAAATTCAAAATTGATGTTTTTCACCAAAAATATTTCATTTAGAACAGTTGTAAGAGTTGCAGTATATACAGAATAACCCTACATGGTCTCGATATATGAATGTTATTTGTACTCTGGTCAAAACAGGATAGAAATGCTTGGAAAAGCCACGAATTCTACTTGTTTTTAAGCCTTGTTCAAATTAATTTTATATTTGAGACAATGTATAGTTGTCACAGTGACCTATGGTTGCTAACTTCTATCTCATTTAGTCTCTGGTGGAGAGTTGTCTCATTGGCAATCATACTACATCTTAATTATTCTAAAAGTATTATCAATTTTGATACTACGAAATCAAAATATTTCATTGTTAAACAGTTTCAAGAAAATTACCAAACTTTCTGTTATATGTACAGATAAAGTGGTGAAGCAAGTCTCGTACACAAGTAGGGGATGGGGAAAGAAAGTCTCGTCAATATTTCTATCTTACCTAGAAAATATCCAACCAGTGAACAATGGAAGTATGTTAGTCGCTGTACATAAGTAGGGGGTGGGGGAACTCCTGTATCTACGGATATTGTTTGTGATTTCTTGTAAGCATCATAACGTAAAACAAAACATAACAACAGGCCTGGCATTACCTGTAAAAAATAGATAGTTAGTTTATCTTTGTGTTAGGCAGGGAATACAAAATCCAAAATAAAAATATGTGTTTTTAAGGTATACATAAATATCAAACATGTAAAAAATATGAAAACACCATTTTGTTTAAAATTAATTTCATTAAGGTTGCTTGGATCATTATAGCTTTTAAATATAGGTATTGAGTTTCATTCACAAGTGATTTTAAGCAGATATGAAATCATTTCAGCCATTGCAGTTAGAGTATGCAGAAGCCTTTTTGCCAATAAGTAATATAATAGTCATGTAATAGTTTTCAGATTTCTTGTTCAGTTGTATTCACTTACAAGTACCAGCAGTTACTTTACGATGTCCATACATATATTTCAAAATTTCTTGTTCAAAGACTGTGGATAATATAATGTGCACTATTTTTCTGCAAGTGGTGTCTTCTATTTGAAAATGAACACTAATTTCTCCAGGTGCCGTCCCCCATGGTTATTTGATAAATATTTTTTTTTTGTTTAAAGTAATGAATAACAATGTAAATGTTTACTGACACTCAGGCTATCCAGCCAACTAATTTTCATGAAAATATTATTAACAAAACTTTCATGAGTAGAAAATAACATGAATATTAACCGTTTCGTATATGTCAAACATGGGTTTTCTCTTCTTGAATGCATTTCATAGAAAAGTTAGACAGTTTCAAAAATAAATCGATTGAAATTGGCAAGATATAACTAAAAGCCAGGAAAAGATATCCCTGGACTATGATTTGGTCTATAGTAAGTTGGTTTACAGATTTGAGAAGATAAATCAAGGGTGATAACTCACATACATTTTATGTAATTTACTAACAATCTAATTTCTGCTCGACATACAGATGAGCTACATGTGATTTTCTTGTGCATTTTTAAACCGTTTATTTGACTTTTGATTTCTAATGATTTGAAATTCTGTGTATTATATTAACATTTGAAATTTAATTTTAATGGTTTACAAAAATTTAATAATATCATTATATCTTTATTACATGTACAATACTAATAATCTGATAATACTTACTATATCACCTAGTCCTAACATGGAAAAATGGCTCGAGTTCTGCATACTGAAATTAAATAATAAAACAGTATCGACCACAATTCTACATCACCACCATTAGGCTAAACAATAAAATACATTTGGTTAGACTAAACTTGTTATTCTTATTGTCTAGTAGTTCTTGTCATTTTGTATCAAAACATTCTTGATCATATACATAATATTATATGGTTTTTTCAATATCACACCTGTATCTGCTTGAGAGATTATATTGGTTATGGATTGCTACGATGTGTGATAATGAAAAAGCCATATCATATGCACTTTATTATATAGCCTTATCACCTATTCTTAATTCTCTTTTATTTCAGTCAATAATTTCAGGCTGGCACAGACAGTTTTTTAATTATGTCATATGATGGAATTTATTATTTGTTGTTGTTAAGCTGTTATCCAATGAAAAAATAGATTACAAAATTTGTTTTTCATGAAAATTGTTCTTCATGAGAGACAATTGAAATTTAATTTTTAGCCTTAAAATAGTAAAATCCTAGGTGTATAGAAGGTAACACTTGATATTCCTCCCATAGAAAAACCATAGTTTCTAAGAATAAAACTCTCTCAACAGGAATACATAAAAGAAAATATTTAAGAAAATTCTTGTGTTTTCGTAACATTTTCCCTGACAAATAGCAAATTACCATTTTTTGGTTAATTTAACCTCTATCAACAATACACATGATCAAGGGTCCGGAAACTGTCATATTTGCCAGACATGACCGAAGCTGAAAACTATTTGTCCTAAACAGTAGATTGGGATTTAGGACAAATTTTTTTTTTTTTACAGAAATGATTTCGGTCATTTCATTGAGATCGGGTTTCTTAATCACCATTTTGCACTAGTTTTTGTTTTGTAATCCTTTTCCTATAATAAAACTGCCACTCCAGTATAGTATGATAATCCTGAGTGCCCTCCTAATAACTATTTTAATGCCTCCGGGAATTATTGGCTAATGATCGCTAGTCACTTTACCTGTGTTTTAAAATTCACTAATATTTTAAATAAATTAAAATTCCATGACAACTTTCTTCATTGTTTAATTACTTTTCAGCAAAGACTATCATCAATTTTAAAATTAAAACTTAATTTCATTTACGTAGAAAAAGTAATTTTTCATGAGTTAAACATGTGCTTTATTTACTATGTAATACGCATGCATGAAATTGTCTTCATCAGGTAGACACTTAATGAAACAGTCAATACAGTTGGTTGCTGTGTGATTTTTACAAAATTGAAAAAAGGGCCCCAACTTTTTAGTCATTTCAAAATGACCGAAATTGTGTAAAAAAAATTCCGGATCCTTGCACATGATACAACTTACCACTAATTTAATGATGAAATAATAAGCAAGAAATGTCCAATTTCTTTTATACTATGTTCATTTTTAATTATAGGAATGCAACAGTATATATTACTTAAACTAAACATACCTTGGAAATACTAATTTTCCTGGCAGAGATAGTTTAGGAGCATCCCTGACAAGACCAGTTAAATGTAATTTTTTGGCAAACATACCAACCTAAAGAAATAAATATAAAATACACATTGAATTAATCCATTTGATCATATCACAATGTATCAATAACAAGTCTTTTAATGTATTTTATAACCAAACTTCTGAATTTTTATCCCAATAATAACAGGTATTCTGTACTTTTATTTTGAATTACAAATTATGATTTGTTTTATTATGATTAATAATAATTCAAAAATTTATGTTACATGATGAAATTGGGATCTTTTTCCACTGCAGCTCAAATGTTTCCCTGATACATACTGAATTTAGTTCTGAAATGCTACCCTATGGTTCTATGTTCACTCGTGTTATTAAGGGATCACTACAGGCTATATAAGGGCTGTGCTGTTTCACCCTTGTTTTCAGCACCTCACCTCTTTATTTTCTCAAAACTTACCCAATATTTCAAAATCAGTACCGTAAATTTAGAAATTATTGTGTGCATTTATTATTGCGATTTTTTAAGAAAGGACAAAAATGTGATTGATTATTGCGATTTTAGGTAAATCTTCCTAGACATACTTATATATGTGTCAAACAAAAGAATGTAAGTTCTTATTATTGCGATACTCATCCAGTCGCATTATTTGCATTAATATAAACCTCGCAATAATTTCTGAATTTACAGTATTATTATGAGCAACTTTATTTCAATCTTTATTTTTGTCATAAAATTATAACTCATTTTGTACATACAACCACAGTGGCACATGAACACAACCCTTGAAAATTTATCAGTGGCAATCCCTTTTCATGTTTTTGGGGGCTTCCAAAACCTCTTGTCTAGAGTGTACCTGATTCAGGTTATACTAAAAACATGTGTTGTGCATTTGGAAATCCGTTGTATACATTTCTTTTCAACTAAATTAAACAAGAACGCATGCGTTGTAGTGCTAAGCATACCCCCTACTCGTATGTTCAAAGTATCGACAAGCAGATAGTGTCTGACATACTGAAAAATGCAAAGAATTGATAAACAGAAGGTTCGTGTGTGTGTGAGATCCAAAAAGTGCTCACATGCAACAACTCACCACTGTCTAGCTGCTGACCAAATATGAAATCATTTTTTTAGTAGTATTGGAAAAGTGTGACAATTTTTTTTTTAGTTATTTCAACAAATTGAAAAATTCCAAGTATTGGTTAACATGAAGTAAGTGTAATATTTGTTGAGCAAAAGAAAGAGTGACTGACTGTTAAAAAGACAGCTCTGGCAAGTTGAATGCCATATAGCCTAACCCCTAGAGTGGGGTTTAATTTTCTGTTATTCCAATAAAAACAATCATGAAAAAGTAAATTCTTACCGGATTTTCCGCAGGTCTGGTTGCTACTTTAACCATAACATTGGCACTAAATATATAGGAAGAGAAGAATACCTGAAACAGACATAAATAACAATTGTAAAAGTTTGGAATCTAATCAATGGTGTCTATGTATCATTTTAAATTGGTTGGGTGTTTGCTTGCTGAATGTAAAGTGTCAAATATTTCATGCATATTCAGGATGAGAAAAGTTAACAAAAAAACGCACAAGTCCTTAAAATATTTTTTTTTAATTTTGTCTTACATATTGGCATTATTGATTCAAACTGCAAACACAGCCAAAATAACATCATTTTGAGATCTTGTCATTAATAGTAAGACATGAGCAAGAGCTTAACACAAAAGATTTTGCTATAAATGTATTGTACAAAGGTGTTATCGTGTATAAAATATCTTTTTGAGTAAAGCTCTAACTTCTTAGTCATATACATGTATAATGTGATCAAAAGCTATGCTTTATATTGCCATTTTTGGTCTAATACGTAAATTTCAACATGTTTACAACGTCATAGTGAATTTCCTGCACTAAACTTTCAACATTAAAGCAACTGGTTCATTTATCAATAAATTTGGCCCAACTTTGAAAGGTTTCATAAGTTTACTATTTTAGCTATTTCAGGGGCCAAATAATGCCTCTTATCATACCTTCTTTAGAATTCAACAGGAAAAAGACAGAAAATTGGGTACATACATAAAAATTTGTAACATTACTGTTATAATTTGTTGTTCATTGGTTGTCATTGGTTCTTGATTATCATATTTGTTTTTTTCGTAAATTGTATTGTTATTAATTAGGCTGTTAGTTTTCTAGTTTGAATTGTTTCAGATTTTTATGTTGGTGCCTTTTATAGCTTACTATACAGTATTGGTATTTCTCATTGTTGAAGTCCATACTATGAATTGCTTATATCTACGTGATTTGTACTCTTGCAGATAGTTGTACCAAATCTCCTTATTCTTATATTAAAGTCAGATCTTCTTCAAAAGAAATATCAAGGGCGGATTCAGGCAAAGCATGGGTTGTCCTCAGCTTAATAAAGAATATTTCGATAATTTTACCTCAAAAAATTTTTAGAAATATGAATCAAATAATAACTATTATTAACACCTGAACTGATCTAATATCATCCATTCTACACAAGATTGTCAAATCAATTTATTATTTCGCTGAACAAAAAATTCTATATTGATATTCAAAAACATATTTATAACATCAGATTTCAAGGATGTTTTATATCATTATTTACTATATTTGCTGGGGACGAAAAATACAACTGATCAGAAAATTCAAAATACTTACACTAATTTATACAATTTTTTTCATTCAAAGATTACACCTATAATTGCTAACCTTCTACCTCATTTGGTCTCTGGTGGAGAGTTGTGTCATACCACATCTTTTAATTTTTATATTGTTATAATGACTTTACAATTTTCAGAATAAAAACAAAAACTTACCCAAAATACATCATAAATTAATAATCCTACTAACAACAAAGTCGATACTTTTAAACTTGGCAGACGTACAAGTGCTATAAAGGCTACACATAGTCCCATGCCTAAAGCTGAAATAGAATAAAATACTGATACTGTAGAAAGGCTTGTATAGTTCGCACTGGTACATAGTCCGCACCCCCTTCTCCCCACGAAATTTTAGGTAAAAAAACTTTTTGTAACTGTTAGAAAAGGTCTAATGAAACTCCGGTAATTTCAAATCCTGTGCTTTCGTTTGCGGTATTTTCTTGGAAAAACCTGTTTTCCATCATCAAACAGAAGCTGAAACTGCTTGTAAATGATTCTAGAACGCTTCATGATTGTTAAAACAATTTAGAAACTTGTGTATTTTAAACAGGAAGTTTAAAAAGCATGTGTAAAAGAAGAAATTAACCGGTGAGAGTCAAAATCCGTACATAACAGATATCACTATAATACGACTTTGAAAGTAAAACAGTTCCATCCTTTTTTAAAACAGTCTTTAATATATCTATCACATTAATGTTTGAAGGGTCTTAAGCTAATACAAACCATATTAGTCAGTATGAAACACCAAAACGGAACGAACAATAACCGATTACGTTTTGTAGTTTACAAATTCTAAGCTGGTTTACGGTTGTCTTTTTCACCATGTTTGTATTGAATGTATACTAGTATATATACTTTTAAATTTTTCAGAAATATTTTAGAAAAAAATCTCTCTCCTATAAATAAGTGACTAGCTACCTTAATATCAACCAACAGAACACTGATGAATGGCAAAAAGTAGAAAGATTGATTGATTGATTGATTGATTGTTGGTGTTTAACATCACTTTCAGCACTATTGGCTATATCATGGCGGTTAGATTTTATTGGTAGAGGAAGCTCGAGTGGCCAGAAAGAACTTCCAACTTTCATCAGGAAAACTGACAATCCTTGTCAATTAAGATTAGAGTCAAAAGGCCCTGCCACTGGTGGGGTTCAAACACACAATCTCCATGTTGACAGGCAAGAGTTAACATAACCATTTTCATGATTTTTTTTTAAATCATTTTTCACTTTAATACATGTAAGGGGAGTTACATATTATTCATTTTCTTTTAAATTCTTGTTAATGCTACAGTTGAGTTTATTTGCATAATAAAGAATAAAACAGCTTGTTCCCTGTTGTAATAAAACATACCATCCATAAGGAGCCAGTGACCAGTCAATACCCATATACACACAATAAAAAACGACAAACAAAATGACAAGATTTCCGCTGCTGTAAATCTGCCACAAACACCAAATGATATTCTGTAACGACAAAAAATATACTCATCAAACCTCATATAATGTAGTTAACATTATAAGTACTTACTCAGATATTATTATTAGTATTTTGTGTATTTAACTGTATATTTTATATGTAATAGAATTTTTTGTATAAATTGCAAGTCACTTCGAAACTTACCAGCTTATATTAAAGCATCTCTTACTTTTTTCAGAAAACCAAAATTGAGCTTGTATTAGTCTATTCCTGCTAAAAGTACATGTATTTGCAATTTTTTCATAAAATCAAAGATTTCATCTGCTATAATCAACAGTTATTCAAAATGCTGCCTATGACAAATATGCAAGTCAATTCATGTAGAATGTTATAAATAGCATGACCATAACAATACAGAATCTTACTTTTGGTTTGTAGAACAGGGTTTGATGATACTCTGACTTACTTTTGGCCAGTAGAGCAAGGTTTGATGATACTCTGACTTACTTTTGGCCAGTAGAGCAGTGTTTGATGATACTCTGACTTACTTTTGGCCAGTAGAGCAAGGTTTGATGATACTCTGACTTACTTTTGGCCAGTAGAGCAGTGTTTGATGATACTCTGACTTACTTTTGGCCAGTAGAGCAGTGTTTGATGATACTCTGACTTACTTTTGGCCAGTAGAGCAGTGTTTGATGATACTCTGACTTACTTTTGGCCAGTAGAGCAGGGTTTGATGATACTCCGACTTATTTTTGGCCAGTAAAGCAGGGTTTGATGATACTCTGACTTACTTTTGGCCTGTAGAGCAGGGTTTGATGATACTCCGACTTACTTTTGGCCAGTAGAGCATGGTTTGATGATACTACGACTTACTTTTGGCCAGTAGAGCAGGGTTTGATGATACTCCGACTTACTTTTGGCCAGAAGAGCAGGGTTTGATGATATACTGACTTACTTTTGGCCTGTAGAGCAGTGTTTGATGATACTCCGACTTACTTTTGGCCAGTAGAGCAGGGTTTGATGATACTCCGACTTACTTTTGGCCAGTAGAGCAGGGTTTGATGATACTCCGACTTACTTTTGGCCAGTAGAGCAGGGTTTGATGATACTCTGACTTACTTTTGGCCAGTAGAGCAGGGTTTGATGATACTCCGACTTACTTTTGGCCAGAAGAGCAGGGTTTGATGGTAGACTGACTTACTTTTGGCCTGTAGAGCAGGGTTTGATATACTGACTTACTTTTGGCCTGTAAAACAGGGTCTGATGATATACTGAGTTACTTTTGGCTAGTAGAGCAGGGTTTAAAGATATACTGACTTACTTTTGGCCTGTAGAACAGGGTTTGATGATATACTGACTTAATTTAGCCTGTAGAGCAGGGTTTGATGATATACTGACTTACTTTTGGCCTGTAGAACAGGGTTTGATGGAAGACTGACTTACTTTTGTCTAGTAGAGCAGGGTTTAATGATATACTGACTTACTTTTGAACAGTAGAGAAGGGTTAGATGATATACTGATTTACTTTTGGCTAGTAGAGCAGAGTTTGATGATATACTGACTTACTTTTGGCCTGTAGAGCAGGGTTAAATGATATACTGACTTACTTTTTGCCTGTAGAGCAGGATCTGATGATAAACTGATTTACTTTTGGCTAGTAGAGCAGGGTTTAAAGATATACTGACCTACTTTGGCCTGTAGAGCAGGGTTTGATGATAAAGTGACTTACTTTTGACCTGTAAAGCAGGGTTTAATGATAAACTGACTTACTTTTGGATAGTAGAGCAGGATTTAATGATATACTGACTTACTTTTGGCCAGTAGAGCAGGGTTTAATGATATACTGACTTACTTTTGGCCAGTAGAGCAGGGTTAGATGATATACTGACTTACTTTTGACCTGTAGAGCTGGGTTTAATGATATACTGACTTACTTTTGGCCAGTTGAGCAGGGTTAGTTGATATCCTGACTTACTTTTGACCTGTAGAGCAGGGATTAATGATATACTGATGTACTTTTGGCCTGTAGAACAGGATTTGATGATAGACTGACTTACTTCTGGCCAGTAGATCGAGTTTGATGATAGTTTGACGTACTTTTGGTTATTAGAGCAGGGTTTAATGATAAACTGACTTACTTTTGACTTGTAGAGCAGGGTTAAATGATATACTGACTTACTTTTGGCTAGTAGAGCAGGGTTTGATATACTTACTTATTTTTGACCTGTAGAGCAGGGTTTAATGATATACTGACTTACTTTTGGCCAGTAGAGCAGGGTTTGATGATAGACTTACGTTTGGCCTGTAGAACAGGGTTTTATGATAGACTAACTAACTCTTGGCCTGTAGAGCAGGGTTTGATGATAGACTGACTTACTTTTGGCCTGAAGAGCAGGGTTTGATGATATACTGACTTACTTTTGACCTGTAGAGCAGGGCTGATGATACACTGACTTACTTTTGGTTAGTAGAGCAGGGTTTGATGATATACTGACTTATTTTTGACCTGTAGAGCAGGGTTTGATGATATACTGACTTACTTTTGGCTAGTAAAGCAGGGTTTGATGATATACTGACTTACTTTTGACCTGTAGAGCAGGGTTTGATGATATACTGACTTACTTTTGGCCTGTAGAACAGGTTCTGATGATATACTGACTTAATTTTGGCCTGTAGAGCAGGGTTTGATGATAGACTGACTTACTTTTGGCCAGTAGAACAGGGTTTGATGATGGACTTACTTTTGGCCTGTAGAGCAGGGTTTGATGATAGACTAACTAACTCTTGGCATTTAGAGCAGGGTTCGATAATATACTGACTTACTTTTGGCCTGTAGAGCAGGGTATGATGATATACTGACTTACTTTTGGCCTGTAGAGCAGGGTTTGATGATATACTAACTTACTTTTGGTTTGTAGAGCAGGGTTTGATGATATACCGACTTACTTTTGGCCAGTAGAGCAGGGTTAGATGATATACTGACTTACTTTTGACCTGTAGAGCAGGGTTTGATGATATACTGACTTACTTTTAGCCTGTAGAACAGGGTTTGATGATAGACTGACTTATTTTTGGCTAGTAGAGCAGGGTTTGATGATATACTGACTTACTATTGGCCTGCAGAGCAGAATTTGATGATAAACGGACTCACTTTTTGCCTGCAGAGCAGAGTTTGATGATATAATGACTTACTTTTGGCCTGTAGAGCAAGGTTTGATGATATAATGACTTACTTTTGGCCTGTAGAGCAGGGTTTAAAGATATACTGACTTACTTTTTGCCTGTAGAGCAGGGTTTGATGATATACTGACTTACTTTTGGCCTGTAGAGCAGGGTTTGATGATAGACTGACTTACTTTTGGCCTGTAGAGCAGGGTTTGATGATATACTGACACATAGGTAACAACAGAAAGGCAAAGGCCACAGTCGCCAGCACTGAAAATAAAAGAAAGAACTACAATAAATTCAGAATTATTTTAATTTTTTTATCAATATAAAAATTGAGAGCATGTGTATTCACATTACTTAAAATAGGTTTCCGAAAAATTTCTTTCTTAAAATCATGATTAAAAACTTAATGTTTAGGGATCCATTTTAATTTCTAGTTTAAAGATGCAGTTTGAAATGAACTAAGTTCACCGAATCTGTTTCATAATTGATTACTTGATCAATACACGGAACCAGGATGTATAAACAAATCTGATAATTATTAATTTGGTCAACTTCAAATTTCCTCAGCAAAATTTGGAAAAAGAATATTATTAGCAATTTTTGTTAAAATAATTAATCAAATTTATCAAGTTAAATAACAATATCAACAGAGGCCCATGAATGCTTAGAGATGTGTTTCTAACATGTATGTGTGCAATTAAATGGACACCAGGTTGTTGAGAGAAAAAAAGATTTGACCCTTGTCTTCCATGTTAGATATCTCTAGATTTTGTTTGTGTTGTTGTGTTGCTGTCTTATTGACATACCCTTACATCTCTTTTTATAAAGAGTGTTAACAGTATTGGTTTATACATTGTAGCCATATAAATAACTGAACTTTAAAGGGAAATATATTAATTTACACTAATAAATTTCCAAAATAAGCACAAAGAAATATTAACCAGTCATATTTCCTCAATTTTAGATGATATCAACTACTCATAATCACCCAGGCTTCCTTTTATCTCATATGACCTCCCCCAACAGTACACATCAGTTCAATCAATAATAACTATTTAACAATAAAAATCAAATTACAACACAATTATGGAAATGAGATGACAACAGATGTGATGTAATTATGGAAATCATATCAGTATTCATATGTTATCAAGTTTATTTTTGATCACATGGTTTTGCATCAGTGACTAAATTATTGACTTAATATGAACATGAAAGAGTTTCAATGACCTTGATTTAAAAGAGTTTAAGCAAGCTGGATTAACCAGTAATGTTTTTCTTTACTAATCTTTTATTTTTATTTAACACCTTTTCTACATAGTTTTTTTTTAATTTAAAACTAGTCTTTCTACTAAAAATTTATTTATCATTTACACTGTTCACATGAGAAAAACTCCTAATAGAAACACAATACTTAAAAGCTATCATTACGCATACAATTCCATTTATGTCTGACATATCTTATTTCAAAAGTTAATGTTAACGGCTTATTTTCTGATGTAATTTAACAATACGTCTAAAATACTTTACACTGAAGATCATAAAGCTGTCAAAAAGTCTGACTTCATCGGAAAACAGTTGATTTAAGTTTGTGATAATGGCGTATCTTTAATACCTAGAACAAAAGTTCACTGAATCTATACATTTATTGATTCATTAAAGCATTAGTATGCTATGTATAAAACAAGCATTCTGAGAGTATTGCATGGCAATACATTGTCCCAGGAGCGACCAGTTCCAAATAAAAAAAAAAACATCCAAACCGAACAAAATACAAACTTGATCTGTAACTTGTCATGGTAAAACTATATACCAAATATTTAATCAATATCTTCCAGGATGACGAAAACAAGTGCAGAAAACAGAGAACTTTAATGAATTTTCTTCGTCCAAGGGCCATTACTCTGCACAAATTCATCAGACTGGAACAAAATTCACACTTCATCTGTAACTGGTCATGATAAAACTATATACCCAATATCATATCAATATCTTTAAACATGAAAAAACAAGAACGTGTCCATAGTACACGGATGCCTGACTCGCAATATCATTTTCTATGTTCATGATCAGTGGAACGTGAAATTGGGGTCAAAACTCTAATTTGACATTAAAATTAGAAAGATCATATCATAGGGAACATGTGTACTAAGTTTCAAGTTGATTGGACTTCAACTTCATCAAAAACTACCTTGACCAAAAACTTTAACTTGAAGTGGGACAGACGGAAGGACAGACGGATGAACCAACAGACGCACAGACCGAAAAACATTAATGCCCATAAATGAGGCATAAAAATGTGGAAAACTGATTTGCCAGACTGAAGGATGGAAGGATGGACATAGTGCAACCCTATAGTCCCCTTCGGCTATGGGGGTAGGGTACTACTAAAAGTTTCTCTACAATAACAGCTAGTTTGAAGCCTAAAATGAAACTATCTGATGTGTTCAGCTGTTTTTTTTAGTCATCTTTCTAAAACAAGATTGATAAATATTATTTCTTGCAACTGGTTCAACTGACAAGATAAAGCATAGGTGTCAACTCTATATATCTTTGGGAGCCTCCCAATATTGTTTCTAAAATTTGAAATCTACCCCCTTCTGAAGATTAGTCCCCCTACATGGAGCAAATATCTTCCTATGAGGACCAGTCTCCTGATATAAACGTTCAAATTTCTGCCTGAAGATTAGTCTCCTGACATGGATCATCTCTCTTTCTGAGGACCAGTCTCTTGATATGGGGCCAAAATCTCCCGATTTCCCAATTAAAAATTTTGTCATTAAAATTACCGGTAGTGTTTTTCATTTAAAATATGACAAATTGGTTTCAAAACATTATTTACACAAAATGACAGTCACTAATCTATCTGATATGTTGTTTTATAAAACAAGTGATTTGTTTTATATAACTAGTGATTTGGAATCCATTTGAATGATCAATGTAAACTTTTTTTATACATAAACAATCTTATTTAAAAATAAGATAATAATATTAAATAGAGCTAATTACATTGTATTTGACCAGATGACATATCTTTGTCTAAAAAAAATATCACACTTTGTAGGTTTGATCAGTTGACATTGATTGATGTATATGATAAATTACAAAGTCAATAAAAGTTTTCATTCCTGTATTTTTTTGTTTCATGTCAAGTACTGGTAAAGCGATAAATGTTTTTTTTTTTTGGACAAATGTTTGAGTTTTTTGTCTTTAATTCAACCAATGACAAGACTTTATTTTCCTGAGCAATAACTAAGAATCTATGAGATATGCTTTACAAGTATTATTTTTTTACCTACCTGCAGTACAAATGGCAAAGACCATCTGTAATGAATCGAAGAAAAAGAACATGATCAGAAGTGAAACTGAGGCTCCAATCGGTAAAAATGCCGCCTGACATGTATCTATAGTCTGCATGTCTACAATGAACAACAAAATTCCAATGAATGTATGCATTTATATACAGCGTAACTAACAAATTGATGATGGTTTTTCAGAGCTGAAAATATACTTGATTATCAGCAGCAAATAGCTGAGTTGTAACCATGGTAATTCAGTCCAAGTTTATTTTCATATTTGGATCTTTTTGTGAAAAAAATACCTAATGAGTTTGTGTTGCTCAGTCTTAAGTTTTCTATATTGTGTTTTGCGTTTTGTGTCTTTTTTTTTTTTTTTTTTTTTTTCTATGTGTTGTCAGTTTTATTTTCAACTGAGTTTGAATGTCCCTTTGGTATTTTTGGCTTCTCTTTATATTTGTGATTAAAATGTTCAGCTGATTTTTAATGATTTAAACTCCCTTAGGTGTTTTGTACACCCTGAAGTAGAGTATCTGAGGTTTAAAATCAACATACTACTCTCATTTTCTGCAGAAGTATTTCCTATAAAACTGTCTTTTTCTTTTTCTCTTTCCCTCTCAACATTTTCCTTTTCCATATTCAGAGATCTGAAATTATAAATTCAATGTATACTTAAGTTATGGATATTGGAACTTTTCCTGTTCAAATATTGTAAGAAGTTGATTCAATTATGAGCAATCTTTTAGTAAGAAGTTGATCCAATTTAAGCAATCTTTTAGTAAGAAGTTGATCCAATTTAAGTAACATAATACACAAAGTTGGTCCAATTTGAGCAACATATCAGTAAGATTAGCAGGGAGTTGATCCAATTTGACAAATTTTCGGATGGAATTTATCCAATTTCAGCAACATCTAAGTAAGAAGTTGATACATATTACAAAGTCAATGATCCAATTTGAGCAATTTACTAGGAAGGAGTTGATCCAATTTGAGCAACATAATAGTAAGGAGTTGATCCAATTTGAGCAATTTATTTGGAAGGAGTTTATCCAATATGAACAACATATTAGTAAGAAGTTGATCCATTTTGACCAATATATAAGTAAGGAGCTGATCTAATTTGAGCAATATATTTGTAAGGACTTGATCCAATTTGAGCAATATATCAGTAAGAAGTTGATCCAATTCAAGCAATATATCAGTAACAAGTTGATCCAATTCAGGCAATATATCAGTAAGAAGTTGGTCCTATTCAAGCAATATTAGTAAGAAGTTGATCCAATTCAAGCAATATATCAGTAAGAAGTTGGTCCAATATGAGCAATATCAGTACGAAGTCGATCCGATTCAAGCAATATATCAGTAAGACATTGATCCAATTTAAGCAACATATTGCGAAGAAGATCCAATTTGAGCAATTTATTAGGAAGGAGTTGATCCAATTTGAGCAACATATAAGTAAGACTAGTAAGGAATTGATCCAATTTGAGAAATTTAATCGGAAGGAGTTTATCCAATTTTAGCAACATATATATTAGTATGAAAATGATCAAATTTGAGCAAAATATAAGTAAGGAGTTGATCTAATTTGAGCAATATATTTGTAAGGAGTTGGTCCAATATGACCAATATATTCGTAAGGAGTTGGTCCAATTTGAGTAATATACATTGTATTAGTAAGACGTTGATCCAATTTGAGCAATATATAAGTAAAAAGATGAGCAATTTGAGCAATATATTAGTAAGATTTTGATCCAATTTAAGCAATATATTATTAAGTAGATGGTCCAATTTGTTCAATGTTAAAGGAAGTACAGTGCCCTATAGTAATAAACATCCTCTTCTTGTGGTCTCTGGCCTCTTATTTGTCTCATTGACAATCATACAATGTCTCCTTATTTTTTAACTCTAATAAATAATTGACTGACCTTTTCCCTGTTTTAAAATGTAAAGGAACTATAAGATAATTATTTTTGTAAAAACCATATAGATTAAAGAATGCCCCATAAAACTAATTATCAGGAATTAGCTAAAAGTACTAGGAAATTTTTCTTTTGACAATTGTAATTTCATAATAATGTATCCCCTTTTTAAATAGTAATTCCACAGACAATAATAATTTGGTTAAAATCAGTGTATATGACTACTGTGTATTGTATTCTATAGTATTACCAGGACTTAATTACATTATGAAGTCATTAAGCCAGTTGAGATTGATTTTTAAGTGGGTACGGAACAGTTATTCAACAGAGCCAATCCAAATATTCTATAAACTATAGAGCATGCTGCTTCTATGGGCATTATCAAAGTCATGAAAGTATTGTTCAGTTTGATCCTGTTATATTGAAATGTTAATGGCTCAGTTAATGTCTATAAAGATAATTTCTGACATTAAAAAAATTTAGACTGCACATTACAAAATCCTTTTATAAGCCTATTTTATTACATAGTATTTTACTTTAAAAAACATTTTGCTTACGGTCGTTAAAATAAAAGTTGATTAAAATTTTAGTAATATTCAGGAAATAATGATTGAACTGGTAAAATGAAGACATTAGTGTTCCAATGAACATCTGTACATATTTCATTCTAAAAATAAATTCCCAGTATATATGAGTATCTCTAAACTATAACACATAGAAATAAATATATTTACTGTTATCATGGTTATACACATTGAAAATGTCATCTACTAAACATGATATAAAACATTTATTCTTTTAACTTTTTAACTAATTTCATATCTGGAGTCAAAGACAAACAAACAAAACAATATATCCTTTGAAGTCCCATATGGTGTAACACCACTAATTCGGGCCCGGCCAGAAAGTAGTACATACTTAACACAAAATGGTTCCTACGCATGAGTGTAGCTTTCAAAATATGTAGAATATCTAGGTATTTTTGGTATCAAATAAAAGCTGAATGACTGGTGATCATTGTAGAACACTTTTTGACTTATAATTTTGAATATTAAAAAAACTGCACCAAATTTTAAAAAGAGGGTACATTTTGCCTGTTTGTCAGATCTGAAGTACCTGTTTTGGTACATCCGAAGTTCCGGGAACCAGTTCTTTCTTATATGCCATTAAAGGTATGCTGATTTTTTCAGTACAAGACATCATAAAGTGTTGCTTTGACATGTAATGATTGTCACTTTATTTGAACTTAAAACAAAAGAGCTGTGTCTGCTTGAAATTGAGGAATTTAACATAGAAAGCAATGGGGTCATGAATTAGTAGTGTACTTCCATATAACTAGTTTTTTTTTTTAGATTGTTCATTAGTCTTTACAAAGCATGGTATTAAAACACTATAATACTAGATTTGTTTAAAGGAACCCAAAACTCTTATTTGTACTAATGTTCTATTAATGGCTTTCATTAATTTGCTGACAAATGTTCCATTATATTATTATCTTATTAAGAAAAAACTTTGTAATTTGCATATAACATGTAAAATGAGGTTTTCTGTAAAATCTATTTTTTCTACCAACCAGTTATATCTTTAACTACTTCATCAGTCAATTTTAAAAGTATCTCAGTATACATGTATATCAGATCTGTGTAAATCATTTTGAACACCAAGAAAAAACTTTAAATAAGGTATATTTAAATCTAATGTGGTCTAAGTTAAAATAACATCACCCCCAAAAATGCCTCACTCTTGCTCAATATTTTTTACTTTTTAAGAAAAAATCTTATTTACTCAGTCCTATATATAGGTGTAATACCACCAAATCATAGTACGTCACATCCGGTTGCATACGAAAATAGGTCGAAAAAAAATATTCCCTTGAATTTGACAGTTGTAGGTAATTGATCCTATATTTCATTGCAGTAAAACATTTCTGAGTCATAAACATATATCTTGGGTATTTCAAAGCACCATTATTTCTTTATTTGGAGTTTCTATAGAATATTTTGGAAACTTGAGGTTACATGGTTACCCTAAAGCTTGTACACAGGTTAAAAAGGGGGAAAATTTGATTGGTTAACTTCCAGTGATGGTTATTTTCTTATATGCAATGAAATGTTATGTGAAATTTTTTCTATAGTACTGGACAGGATAAATCTTTACTCATGCCAAGTATTTCTTTAATTGAAACAAAGATAAATTCTGCACAATTTTTTGAAAAGTGCAAATTTAACAAAGACTAATAGGGGAAAATCAATGGTGGTATTACACCTAATATGGGAAGCTGTACATGCACCTTTGACCTTGTGAGTACTCTCATGTGTTAAAATTTCTTGCTATTTAAGTGAAATATTACAAATTATGAAATATTCTGAGTGGACTGAGTCTCCAAAATACATTTTATGAGAAAATTTCCTTGAAATAGGACTTTACCATGAATATTAGTTGACAGAACAAGCCATACTTAGAGTTTTGGGGAGCTTTTTCTCTTTATTTCTTATATTCTGCTATACTAGAAAATTTTTCCTAAGACTTACTTTAATAAATATATAGTTTTAAGTAAATGAAATTACTTTTAAAGCAGTAACAACAAATTATTCACCAAAAAAGAAGTTTTTTATGTCCCTCTCTGGAACGCGGCGTAAATTTAAGTTTTACGTAAGGACTTATTGAAACCTCCTTGGAGACAGTAAACTTTTATACGGATAGTTCATTCAGCTTGAATACTTCAATTAATCATTTATAATAACATTTCTATCATAAATGAGTGAAAGTTACCCCAAAATTTTTATTTATTGGCCTAAAAAGTAGAAATTTTGAGGAAATGAGAGGTATAAATGGACCAAAAGAGACCTTATAAGGAAGACAAAGAGGTCCATTAGTAGTATTTATCATCCTAAAGTCATCTTTTGTATCATATTCAACTGTTTGTAGGCAGATGAGATAAGTATTTGATCATTTATTGGTCCACACTATATTCTATCATGATGCGGCTTGGTTTGGATTTTTCGATGAAATTTTGCTCGAATAGCTGTAGATGTCGTCTTACATTATACTAGATTTTTCTCAAACTATTGAACTGATTATGACAAAACTTGACAGGAATGCTTGAAATAACCAGTATTACAAAGGAAAAAAGTCACATTCAGTTTATTTAACAAAAAAGTCTTCTTTAGGTGTAATACCACCAAATCATAGTACGTCACATCCGGTTGCATACGAAAATAGGTCGAAAAAAAATATTCCCTTGAATTTGACAGTTGTAGGTAATTGATCCTATATTTCATTGCAGTAAAACATTTCTGAGTCATAAACATATATCTTGGGTATTTCAAAGCACCATTATTTCTTTATTTGGAGTTTCTATAGAATATTTTGGAAACTTGAGGTTACATGGTTACCCTAAAGCTTGTACACAGGTTAAAAAGGGGGAAAATTTGATTGGTTAACTTCCAGTGATGGTTATTTTCTTATATGCAATGAAATGTTATGTAAAATTTTTTCTATAGTACTGGACAGGATAAATCTTTACTCATGCCAAGTATTTCTTTAATTGAAACAAAGATAAATTCTGCACAATTTTTTGAAAAGTGCAAATTTAACAAAGACTAATAGGGGAAAATCAATGGTGGTATTACACCTATAGGGGAAAATTACATTTTTTTTTAACAAAAACCAAAGGACTTTATAAGCATAAAACATATCTCAGAAAGTCTGGTTTTTGCAACTGC